TAGGTGATGCAGAGGGACCCCCGCCCGCCTGGCTGCTCACACGCCTGCTGTGGGCAGGAGGAGGAGATCCGTCGTCAGGAGCTAGCAGTGTGGTGGTGACGATGGTCTCTCTCCGTACATGGAATACAGGGAAGAGCCGGGAAACAAGACGCCACATCAAACCTTCTAAGACAATGTTTGTCAAACTGAAATGATGGAAGGGCTCCTTTTCAAGGAGGCAGCAGGATGGCAACTAAGGGAAGCCAGGCAATACATAGAGAATGTGAGATAGAAGCAAGAGGAGCTCCAGGAGCCGTAGCTGCTTTTCCTAAGTCACCCTGGTGTCTTGGCAAGAGCACTGTAAAGGCAAAGACCCCATGTGGGCCCCACCTCCTCCCACCTTCATTTCATTCAGAGCCACAAAGCAAAGCCCTGTGAAGCCCACCAGCCCTGCCAGTCTGGCCCCGCCACCTCTTCAGCCTCATCTTCTACCTCAGCACCCACACTCCTTGGTCCCAGCCATGTAGCCACCTTGCCAGTCCTCAAACACACCAAGCTGCAATCCTGCCTCTGGGTCTTTGCACTTGCTTGTCTTTCTGCCTGCGTTCTGGTCTTCTCCACCTGTCCCTTCACATGGAGAAGCAATTACCAAGAGGTCGAACCAAATCATGCAAGCACATTTCAAACTTCTGCTGGTGGGATATGTCGTGTCTGCTCACATTCCAATGACCAAAGGCTGGCGTTGGCAGGGTGGGGAAGGATGCCCTATGCTACCTGCTGGATGCACTACAAAGTCACATGGCAAAGGCTTGGATGTGTGACCCTAACAAAGGGAGCAAGCAGAAGAGTCGGGGACAATCATCTAGTCCACCACACATAGGGATGTTCCAGAGAGTCTCAGAGACTGGAGGGAATGCCCCAAGGCCAGAGTTCTCCTGGGAAAGGACAGCCCCACCATTGCTTACCTCCGTATTCTATCAGCTTCTTTCTAGTTTGGTTCATGGAAGTGAAGGCAAATACAGACCTCACCTGCTGGTGAGCTGACAAGTCCACATCCCTTCCTAGAACAATCAGTAGTTAGGGTGCTGGAGGCAGAGAAGTATAAAATGAGCCATCTATGGTGGGTGAAGAACCCCAGGAATCACTGGACATCCTGAATAGATTCGTAGAGGGTGTACAGACTTCAGGACTACTTCAAGA